GAGGTTCTGGAGCTGCTGCGGGTGCTGGCGCTGAGGGTTCTGAGTCTGCTGTTGCGCGGTCTCCTTGGAGTAGCCGCCTTCGTCCGCGTGTGCCGCTCACGTCACAGCAGCTCCACGACTGGTACGGTCGCCGTCAGGGTCGCGCTTCTGGAGCTCGGAGTTCTGCCGCTGGAGGTGCTGCTGCTGACGTTGCTGGAGCTGGGAGTGGTACTGGTCCTTTGTATACTAGCGTTGCTGTTCCCGGAGGTGCTCGTCCTGGAGGTACTGGAGCTGCTGGGGCTGGAGGTGCTGCGTCTGGGGGTGCTGCTGCTGGAGACACTGAGGCTAGAGACCCTGGGACTGGAGGTGTCGGTTCTGGGGGTGCTGCTGCTGGAGACACTGAGACTGGAGACCCTGGGACTGGAGGTACTGGTTCTGGGGGTGCTGCTGCTGGTGGTGCTGGCGCTGGAGGTTCTGGAGCTGCTGGAGGTGCTGGAGCTACTGGAGGTGCTGGAGCCAAAGGAGCTGCTGGAGCTGCCGGTGCTGGTGCAGCTGCGCCGACACGACTGTTCTTCGCTCCGCCGTCTCCGTCGTCTCTGCCGCCGCCTGCCTCTGTTCTTCGTCAGGTTCTTACCCTTCCGTCGTCTACTGGTCTTCCGTTACTGCCTGGCTCACCGCTCCCTGCTCCTCCTCCTTACACTGAGCAGCCTGGTGGTCTTGCTGAGCGTTGTGAGCCTGCGTCGCGTCCTGTCTCGCCTGTTCGTCCTTGTCGTTCTGGTCGTCGTGCTCCTCGTTCGCGTCAGCCGGCTGTCCCCGGTACACACCTCGTAGTCCGTCGTCTTTCCTCTGCTCCGCAGTCTGTTCCTCTGCCGTCTCCCCCTGCGTCCTCTCTGCCTGACGTTGCCGACCCTGAGTCTGACCGGTTTCGTGCTGAGCACCCTACTGTCACGCGTCTGCTTGCCACTGTTGTCACTGACCCGTCGTTTGAGTCTGCTGCTGCGTTTGCCTTAGTCGCTGAGCTTGTTGACTTTGCTGCTGCCTGTCGTCTAGACTACGCCGCTAGCCTTATTGCTGAGTCTGAGTTTGTCTGTCCTCCGTCCGTCGGGGGTGAGTGTGCTCTTGGCACGGACGTCCTTGAAGACAGACAGAAGGACCTTGAGTGTCTTGCGGCCGCTGCGCCTCATCTCGTGGCCATGCTGCTTGCCCCTGAGGGAGACCCGGATGCTATAGACATCCCGACCCCGCGCTCTTGGGTTTGCACCTTCGACTGCTGACTCGTCGCTGTTTCTGCGCACCGACACTTTGCTGCCGCCGTTCTACATCCTCGTGTACGTCGACGACTTGGTCTTTGCCACTGCTGACACTGAGGATCTCGCACTGGTGAAGTCGGAGCTGCAGAAGAGACACACGTGCACAGACCTGGGTGAGCTGCGCAGCTACCTTGGCTTGCAGATCACCCGGGACAGAGCACGCCGCACCATCACTCTGACTCAGTCACACATGGTGCAGCAGGTCCTTCAGCGCTTCGGCTTCACCTGGCCACAGTCCACTCCTCTGGCTACAGGTCACTCGCTCTCAGCTCCACCTTCGGACGAGTCCGTAGAGCCGAGTGGTCCTTACCCAGAGTTAGTGGGCTGCCTCATGTACCTGATAACCTGCACTCGTCCTGACCTTGCGTACCCTCTTGGCCTTCTGGCCCGTTACGTGGCTCCTGGTCGACACCGAAAGGTGCACTGGGATGCTGCGAAGAGGGTACTGCGCTACTTGTGCAGTACGTCGGGCATGGGGCTCGTGCTTGGAGGGCGGAGAGACGTGGTTCTCACTGGGCACTCGGACGCTTCTTGGGTTGTCGATCAGGCTACACAGCGGTCGTCACAGGGTTACACTTTCAGCCTTGGCTCCGGTTCTGTTTCTTGGCGTTCTACTCGTTCGTCTTCTGTTCTCAGCTCCAGTTGTGAGGCTGAGATCTACGCCACAGCCATGGCTGCACAGGAGTTACGCTGGCTCACTTACCTGCTGACTGACCTGGGAGAGCGGCCTCGTTCTCCTCCAGTGCTGTACGTCGACAACAAGGCCGCCATTGCCTTGTGTGAGGAGCACAGACTGGAGCACAGAACGAAGCACATCGCTCTGCGTTACTTCCTGGCTCGAGAGTTGCAGCAGCGCGGTCAGCTTCGCCTTGCTCACGTGGCCACCCGGGCCAACACTGCTGATATATTCACCAAGGCGCTTTCGTCTGGTGATCATCAGCGCTTTTGTACCCTGTTAGGCCTTGTGCCTACGTTTCCACACTTGCTGTAGACTCTGCTTGTACTGTGATCTCTATATATATACCTGCATGCTTGCTCTTGCTAAGTAGTGATCACTGTGCTGTTCTTGTTGCATATATACTTCTGCATGTGAACTGGTCTTCTGACCCTTTGCTTGTGCTCAGAGTGTGTGGTGACATTGTGATCCACCCTGAGCTTGCTTTGCTTCTCTTGACTGGTCTTGTGACCCCTTGTTCTCCCCCACTTTGCCTATGGGGGTGTGTCAAACTATATATGTTATACTTGTGTAGGCTGTAGTGGGGTAGCCAATATAGGGTACAACCCCTCTAGGGTTTGTTACTTGTACCCAACCTTCTTTCAATGCATTCATTCTTGCCTAGACTTTCTAACATATCACGGGAACAATACACAACAAATGAATAATTCAAGACACACATCGAAGGGATATTTGATTTAGACCTAGCTGCATCTTGAATGAACCAACCGTCTTCATTGTTCTTTTGGCTGCAGCCCTTAAGAACGACCTAGTTGCTAGGTAAAAAAGGGTTGCAGCCCTTTCAAACGACATAGCGACAACACCAAAACGAGGTGCAGCACTTGAAGATGCCCATGATCGAGATGGACAGAAATATTGGAAGTAGACTTACAACGTAAGCTAACATGGGTTGCAGGTAGTAAGGACTTGCCACTCTAATATAGCTTTTCGTCTAGAAATAGATGCCTACGTAGTCGACTTTACTTAGCTTTAGATTAGTCTAAATAGGTAGCGGGAATAGCAGGGGTCGCTCGAGTAGTAAGAGAAACGCAAGGGAGAGCAGTTGGGAGGACGACAGCAGTTGGGAGAAACGATAACAAAAAGCGACACAAACCGTAAGGTTGTGCTGACTCCGTTGTGTCAACATTGGCTATAAAAATCTCGCTAACAATGAAGGCACGTGGTCATGTCGCAATTGGTGAAATATGAGCTGGAAATCGAAGTTTACCAGCTCAGATCTCGTTGTTGACATTGTTGAACATCTTTCAGACAGCATTGAGTAACACTTCTATATTTCTTACCATACAATTTCTAGAAAAGAAATGTTTTTTTTTTTCAAAACGCTTCGCGACCCTAAGATGATTTCGTCGCATCTTTTTTTTTTTTTTTTTTTTTTTTTTTTGTCCCGTTGTTGAGACCCCCCCTCCCGCCCCCCTCCCCCCGTTTTGTAGGGATTTAGCATAAGGACCCTAGGGTCCGGGGGAGGGAATACGGTAATATTACCACCCTGCGTTGGGAATTTTATTACGGTATTGCTTCTCTTGTTGACTCGTCTTGTGACCACTTGAATAGTACAGTGCCGCCCTTGTTTCTTGCCTGCTATGATGTGTCCGACCCTTACCTAGGCTAGGGGGTGTGCACTGTATTTGTTACATTAGGCGGTTACAGTTGGTAGCATAGGCTAGGGTTGACTATTTGTTAGTACCCATGTATTTCATTCAGTCCACATTCTGTTTCTGACACTGTTGGTGCTGGATTGATACATGCCTTAAAAGCTGTAGAAGTGTTATTAGCGCTTTCTATTTTCTTCAAGAGAGGGATGTGAGCACAGGCTAGTGGTACCGTACACAGGACAGTTATGATACAAAGGCGCTCATGTCGTGGTAACCTTTACGTCACTCTCAAGGCACCTGCTCCGAAACCTGCTGCGGTGAGCGTTGCAAGAAGCTCCTGCGCCACAATCAGTTTCCTCACTGCCCCGTTCCTCCCTTTCAATCCTACATCCCAAGTCAGCAGTCAACGCTCTGATACAAAGGCACTCGTATGGTGGTGGACGTTGGAGTCAGAGCACTGCTGTCGCGAGCACTAACATCAGATCCTGGGCCACAATCAGCCTCGTCAATGCCTCAGCTTCCCCAGCTTCCCTCTCTGCCTCCTCCCCTACTTCAACCCTTCGTCCGACTCGTCAGTCAGTGCCATGCTATAAACCCATTTATGTGGTGACCGTTAAGTCAGAGTCAGATGGTGCCTGCTCCAAACCCTGCTGTGGTGACTGCTGCAAGCAGTTCCTGTGCCACAATCACCTTCCTCACAGCCTCACCTTCCTCACAGCCTCACCTTCCTCACTGCCCCACCTTCCTCAGCTTCTGTCTCTGCCTCCACACACGTTCGCTTGAACCCTACACCCAAGTCAGCAGTCAGTGCTCTTATCTGGTGACTGTTGGGTTGACTCAAAAACGGGGTGCTCGAAACCCGGCTGTAATGAGTGCTGAAAGGAGCTCCTGTGCCACGATGGGTTTCCTCACTGCCCCGTCCATGCCAGCCTCCAAGCACGCTCGCTTCACTCCTGCATCCAAGTCAGCTGTCAGCGCTATGATACACAGGGGCTCATGCGTCCTTGCATCAACTGCACTTGTTGCTGCTGCTGCTCCTGTTGCTGCTGCTGCTGCTGCTTCTGCTGCTGCTTCTGCTGCTGCTGCATTACTGGGGGTATTGTCTCCCTCGGGCATCACGTGTGTTGTGTGGCTGCTGCTGCTGCGCTGTGCCCTCTCCAAGGCTCGGATCCGACGAGCCGTCTCGAATCTGTTGGGAAATGGGACACAATGCGTGGCATGAAATGGATGGCAACACGGAATCACAGGAGCAGTGCAGGTAGTAACCGCAATCTCACAGTAGCAGCAACGGCAGAACAAGCTATCTAAAAAGAATTGTGATGGCAACAAAGCTCAGTTGGATGGGTGGGGAGGGCGCAGCAGAGAAGAAGAAAGCGACGGCACTCACCCGTCAATGCCGGGCGGCATGTGCAGGTCGAGGAGCAACAGGTGGATGGAAGGGGAGGCCGTGGGAGAGGAGAAAGCAGAGGAGAGCGCTTGCAGCGCGTCCTCCCCGGAGGGCAGCAGCAGCACGTGCGCCCCGTAGCCCTGCAGTGTTCTGCGTGCCACCATGCGGTTCACCGCGTTGTCATCCACCACTGCCACCGACCACCCCGCCACCGCTGCTCGCACCAGCACCTCCGCCTCCTCCGCTCCCTCCATCTGGCCATGCATTCTGGGGAGCGAGTGCGCCCGCCTTGTCTGCCGCCCCGACACCACCGCTGGGACCGGCGCCTCCGCGTCTCCCAGGCCCTCCGTGTGGAAATGAGGTTTGGGGAGAGAATGCGACCGTGCTGTTCGCCGCACCGCCTTCACCACCACTGGTATCGGCTCCTCCTCTTTCGCTGCTGCCTGTGCCGCCACCGCTGGCAACTCCCCCGTGGCCTCTCCTGCATCCTCTAAGGCATCGGATACGCTGGCCTGCGGCTTGAGGTGAGAGTGAGTTCGTGATGCCCGTTGCTGTTGCTGCTGGACAGATGCCTGCTGCGGCATGCCTGGCTTTGCGCCACTCGCAAATTCCTCACGCTCCCCTTCACACCCCGACCCGCACCCATCCCTTTCCCCACCACCCTCCTCCTCATCCCACTCCCCGTCCCCACTGCTGTCAACGTCCTCCCCTCCCCCCAGGGGCAGCGCCAGCAGAATGGCGGTGCCTGTGGCGGCGTCTGACAGCACTGCCATGTCTCCCCGCATCTCCGCCACCTTCTCGTGGGGGGAAAGGGGTAAAGAAGGATGGGGAACGAGGCATGTGAGGGGAAGGGGAGACGGGGGAGACAATGTATCACTATCACAGCTGGTGATTGTAGGCATGACTATAAAGACCAGTCCTGGTTCAGCCCAGGACAAACACGTTCGGCACCACAGCATGGCACATGGAGCGACGCGGCTCAGCACGGAGCAATGCGGCCCCGGCCGGTTCGCTATGTCCATGTCGACCGGCTCGGCTCCTACTTGGGGGAAAAAGAGGGCTTGGTTCAGCCTGTGACAAGGCAGTTCACTTCAACTCCAACAGAGTGCCCATGGAACTTGTTACTGAGCTGCTGAACTTGTTACTGAGCTGCTGAACTTGTTACTGAGCTGCTGAACTTGTTACTGAGCTGCTGAACTTGTTACTGAGCTGCTGAACTTGTTACTGAGCTGCTGAACTTGTTACTGAGCTGCTGAACTTGTTACTGAGCTGCTGAACTTGTTACTGAGCTGCTGAACTTGTTACTGAGCTGCTGAACTTGTTACTGAGCTGCTGAACTTGTTACTGAGCTGCTGAACTTGTTACTGAGCTGCTGAACTTGTTACTGAGCTGCTGAACTTGTTACTGAGCTGCTGAACTTGTTACTGAGCTGCTGAACTTGTTACTGAGCTGCTGAACTTGTTACTGAGCTGCTGAACTTGTTACTGAGCTGCTGAACTTGTTACTGAGCTGCTGAACTTGTTACTGAGCTGCTGAACTTGTTACTGAGCTGCTGAACTTGTTACTGAGCTGCTGAACTTGTTACTGAGCTGCTGAACTTGTTACTGAGCTGCTGAACTTGTTACTGAGCTGCTGAACTTGTTACTGAGCTGCTGAACTTGTTACTGAGCTGCTGAACTTGTTACTGAGCTGCTGAACTTGTTACTGAGCTGCTGAACTTGTTACTGAGCTGCTGAACTTGTTACTGAGCTGCTGAACTTGTTACTGAGCTGCTGAACTTGTTACTGAGCTGCTGAACTTGTTACTGAGCTGCTGAACTTGTTACTGAGCTGCTGAACTTGTTACTGAGCTGCTGAACTTGTTACTGAGCTGCTGAACTTGTTACTGAGCTGCTGAACTTGTTACTGAGCTGCTGAACTTGTTACTGAGCTGCTGAACTTGTTACTGAGCTGCTGAACTTGTTACTGAGCTGCTGAACTTGTTACTGAGCTGCTGAACTTGTTACTGAGCTGCTGAACTTGTTACTGAGCTGCTGAACTTGTTACTGAGCTGCTGAACTTGTTACTGAGCTGCTGAACTTGTTACTGAGCTGCTGAACTTGTTACTGAGCTGCTGAACTTGTTACTGAGCTGCTGAACTTGTTACTGAGCTGCTGAACTTGTTACTGAGCTGCTGAACTTGTTACTGAGCTGCTGAACTTGTTACTGAGCTGCTGAACTTGTTACTGAGCTGCTGAACTTGTTACTGAGCTGCTGAACTTGTTACTGAGCTGCTGAACTTGTTACTGAGCTGCTGAACTTGTTACTGAGCTGCTGAACTTGTTACTGAGCTGCTGAACTTGTTACTGAGCTGCTGAACTTGTTACTGAGCTGCTGAACTTGTTACTGAGCTGCTGAACTTGTTACTGAGCTGCTGAACTTGCTGCCAGCAAGCCGGTGCAATGGAAAAGTGTGCCAAGGGAAGGGTTGGCCCAGGCTGGCTCGGTTAATTGAGCTGCAGAATGCGTGCCCAAATCAAATGTGGCCCAGGGCCCGAGGCAGGCCTTTTGGATGCACATGTTGGCCAGAGTTCGACTGAGGCAAATGAAGGTTCACGGCTCAGCACGGAGCAATGAACCTTAGCTGGCTCAAGGTCTGTGCAATCTTAGAATATTACGTTTGTTTATAGTACGGTTATATACATTACCTTTATATTGTACATCTTTTAAAATCACATTTTTTGGCTGATGTGTTTGTCGAGATCTTCCCTGCATGTTGCGGACAGCAGGATGGGAATCCAAGCAGGATGGGAATCCAAGCAGGATGGGAATCCAAGCAGGATGGGAATCCAAGCAGGATGGGAATCCAAGCAGGATGGGATCCAAGCAGGATGGGAATCCAAGCAGGATGGGAATCCAAGCAGGATGGGAATCCAAGCAGGATGGGAATCCAAGCAGGATGGGAATCCAAGCAGATCTCATTGGAGTTGGCTGATAGGTTACATTGTCGGAGAATCTCAATCAGAAAGGGTTAGGATACCTACGCACTGGGGGGAGATGGCACTCACAAGGGCGGTGGAGAGCAGGAAGCGAACCGGGTAGGGCGTCCAGCGGGGGCGAGCAGCTGCCTTCTGCTCGTGCGTGAGAGCAGTTGTGGTTGCTCGCCTCTTGGGGCGGCGAATGAGAGAGAAGGGAAAGAAAGAGCCCTGCTGGAGGGCGGAGGAGCACAGAGGAGCGGAGAAGCAAAAGAGGCAAGGAAGAGACTGAACCTGCTGATGAAGTACCTCTGAACGCCCATGGGCAGTTCTTGGTGACGGGCAGCGGATAAACCGGAGGCTGAGAGGCTTGAATACTAGCAGCAATCCAAGGAAGCAGCCCTCCTGTGTGTGCGTAAATTCACCTTGACGCCTTGACCATTCTGATTGTCGCCATCACCACGAGCATCAGCAGCATCAGCAGCAGCAGCAGCGGGTGGTGCATGAGAGATGTGTGCAGCGTGGTGGGAGTCCCCGTGTGGGTCCAGCACCCACCGCATCTCCTCCGGTGGTATACCACCGCCCGTGTCCTCACATACCACCACCACCATCCACTCGCCCTCCGCCCTCGCCCTGCACGCTTCCTCCACCCACTCCCTCACCTCCTCCTCCAACCGCCCAGCCCCACCATGTGCCTCCTCTCCTCCCCTCCCACTTGACCCTTCATACTCCCCCCTGCCTGCCGCCCCCCTGCCTGCCGCCCCCATGCCTGTAGCCGCTGCCACGCGCCTGCAGCAGCGCTCAATCAACCCCATCTGCCGCTGCTCCTCCCCTCCTCTGCTCTTGGCCCTGCCACCCGGCCTTCCCGCTTGGATCCGAGGGAGGCACGCGAGGGCGGTGGGAGGGGGGAAGCGGCGCACACAGGCAGCCAGCTGGTGCCACGTGGAGGAGGCCCCAGGATTTGAGGGAGGCTGAGTGGCAGGCGAGGTGTTGGATGGCCCGTGCAGATCGAAACAGTTGGTTGAAGCGGGGAGGGGAGGCGGGGGAGGGATGCAGCCGACGTGGAAGGTCACGTGGCCCCCTGTGGTGTTGCCGATGGCGTGGGCTGTGGGCGAGAGGGAGTTGAAGTGGACAGACGCACAAAGGGTGTTTAGAAAAAAAAAGGAAGTGCAGCTGCAAAGAGGGCGGTGAAAAGGGCTGTCGTCAAGGGCTGTGATCAAGGCTGGTCTTAGAGCTTTTATTGCGTCCTACCAGAAATGGATGTTCTGAACGCTGGTGTCATAGGCTGTCACAAACGAAGCAAGGGAGTAGTTATAGGAAGGTGTTTGGTGAAGTGTGTTAACTCATATATACAAAGCACATCATCATGCGAGACTGACAACAACCCAACACCCACCCGTGAGCTCCCCCATGCACCCACCCGTGAGCTCCCCGATGACTTGCAAGAGGCGAGTTGGATCCCCCATGAGGACAGCTGGCACACTCTCGTCCACGTGGCATGTCACTGCAGCACAGCGCGCACAGCAGGATAAGGACAAATCAGGAAACAGCAAGATAAGGAAAAATCAGGAAACAGAAATGGGTTGAAATGGAATGTATGGCCTGTGTTAATCCAAGTCGACGAAAGCATTGGTGCGGTGCATGCACGCTCTTACCGTGCGACTCCTTTGTGTGCGCATCTGAGGCAGCGAGTGCCGTCGCGTCCCGAACGATGCGGCGCAGGCAGCACGGGAGAGTCTCGAGCTGCAGGCGGCCGGCCTGCAGCTTGGCGAGGTCCAACACTCGGTTGATGAGCTCCACCGTCTCGCCCGCACATGCCCTCGCCACCCGCAGATCCGCCACCTGCCACTCCTCCAACCGCGACTCCAGCAGTTCTTCTATCATGCCTGTGTGGGAGAGGGGAGGAAGGGAGGAAGGGGGGAAGGTGGGGGAGGGGGGCTGCAGCTTGGCGAGGTGTAGCATCGTCTTGCCCGTATGTGCCCTCGCGACCAGCAGGTCTGCCTGATGTCACTCCTCCAACCGCCACTCCAGCAGCTCCTCTATCATGCCTGCACAGTTGGGGGGGGGGGGTGGGTGGGGGGGGGGGGGGGAAGGGAGACCAATTTTGTGAGACGACGAACACATTGGAGCGCTTGGGAACGGCTGGCTAAACTGCACGAGGTAGTTGTGTTTGGAAGGGGAAAAGAATGCAAGTGCTGATACTGTTGTAGCTATAAGGTTGAGCCAACAATTCTCACCCATAACGTGAGAGTCAATACAGAGGTTGTTTCATAGAGCATCTACTTATGCTTACGTTTTTCCTGCAAGATGCCAATGATGGTGCAACTCGCACATCTATCTACAGCCTCACTAATTGTCAGTTATTGGCTGGCAGCACAACTCACTATGGCCTTACCTCACCTAATAGTCGAGTGAACGGTGCAGCCCCACGCATGTACAAATTCGCCGATAATGGCAATGGTTGGCGCAACTCTCACACTTGTTCGTCTATCATGCCTAATGTTGGCCCAAATTGCACACATATGCCCTCACCTATCATGCCAACGATGGGGGTGCGCAGCTCATGCGAGGTGTTGGCCACCGTCTCACTCTTGGAGCGCTCGGCCTTCTCCAGCGCCGCCGTGCACACCTGCATCTCCGCCACCGCCTCTGCCATCTGCCTTTGCTTCCACGCCAGCACCGCAATGACTGCAGACAGCAGCATGGCCACGAGCAGCACGAGCAGGCCCAGCAGCATGGGGGCATACACGAGCTCCCACTTGGGGTACGCGCCCTCGAACCTGCGGATTCGGGAGTGACAAAGGCAGGAAGCACGTGAAGCCTAAGGGCCGTGCAGCACTGAGCGTGAACGGAGTGCAACACGAAGGATCATGGGAACAAAACGGAGGGAAGTAAGGAGCGCAGCAATGACTGCAAGGATACCGATTCCTCTCACTTAAAGCCGCGCCTTCCTTTTCATACCTGCTGTGACTCCTTGTCCCACCTGCACCGTGCCTCGTACTTGCTCATGTGTATCTCAAATGCACCGTGCCTCGTACTTGCAACCCAGCAAGCCCTTGGGAAGGGGATCGGCGTGCTTGGGGTCGGTCAGGCACGACAGGCTCAGGCAGCTCGTATGGGTAGAGGGAGCAGCACGTATGGGTAGAGGGAGCAGCACGTATGGGTAGAGGGAGCAGCACGTATGGGTAGAGGGAGCAGCACGTATGGGTAGAGGGAGCAGCACGTATGGGTAGAGGGAGCAGCACGTATGGGTAGAGGGAGCAGCACGTATGGGTAGAGGGAGCAGCACGTATGGGTAGAGGGAGCAGCACGTATGGGTAGAGGGAGCAGCACGTATGGGTAGAGGGAGCAGCACGCTCGAGCCGTACTGCCTCCCTTCCTCACCTGCAGTGCCTCCCTGCTTGCCTCACCTGCAGTGCGCCTCGTACTTGCGGCCCAGCAGGTCCTCGGGAAAGGGTTCAACGTGCTTAGGGTGCGGCACGACAGGCCCAGGAAGCACGTATGGGTAGAAGGACCCATTCTGCACACGCAGGGGCTCCGGGCCGACCACCTGAATGGGCTGCAATGGGTCGGTTGTGTCGTACATGGCCAGTGAGTAGGGGGGGCCGGTGCCTGCACGCATTGGGGCCGCAGGTACAGTCACACGCACACATGCAAGGCAGTGGGAACACAGGTTTTGAGCCTCTCAAACATGGGATCCGGGCCGACCACCTGACTGGGCTGCGCTGGGTCGGTGGTGTCATACATGGCCAGTGAGTAGGGGGGCTGGTGCCTGCATGCATTGGGGCCGCAATTACAGTCACACGCACACATGCAAGGAAGTGGGGACACATTTTTTGAGGGCCCTCAAACATGGTATCCGGAAAGAACATCTGAATAATGGGTTGTGTTGGGTCGGTTGTGTCATACATGGCCAGTGAGTAGGGGGGATGGTGCCTGCATGAGGCCACACACACATGCATGGATTCATGCAGGGAGGTACACACGCGCATGCGACCAGCCAGGCATGCATGGCATTAGGCTCAACACGCAAGGCATTGGGCTCAACACGCATGGTATTATGCTCACATACATTCCACCACATGAAAAGCCACAGCAGCAGGCAGAAACTGGGTGAAAAGAAACACAGTCGAAGGTGGGGAACCGGCGCCTGGAAGGTTGTTCAGAATTGTTGCAATAAAGGGTTTGACTGGGGAAGAAGAGGAGTGAAGGGGACAAGGGGGACGATGGGTAAGAAGAGGATGAAGGGGAGGAGCGATGGGAGATGTCACCATTATGAAGCAGTGCAAGGAGGTAGTGAAGGTCCTCCTCGAGGAAGTAGAAGCCTGCCCACACGGTGCTCACACTCTCCCTCTGCTGCTCTGGTGACGCGTCCGGTGGCACAGGATGGCGCCGGATAGGCACCATCAACACTGCATGCATGCGTGGGTGGGTGGGTGGATGGATGGGTTGATGGGTGGGTGGATGGGTGGGTGGATTGATGGAGGGAGGGAGGGACGGAGGGAGGGAGGGAGGGAGGGAGGGAGGGAGGGAGGGAGGGAGGGAGGGAGGGAGGGAGGGAGGGAGGGAGGGAGGGAGGGAGGGAGGAGGGAGGGAGGGAGAGGGAGGGAGGGACGGACGGACGGACGGAGGACGGACGGACAGATGGATGGATGGAACGATCATGGCACGTAAAGGGATGGACAACACATAGGTATGGCATGATATTATGTGTCTTAGATGTGTTTTGTTACTGCGATTAATCTTTTTAACAACAAGACTAGGACACAATGTTCCAAGTGCCAAGCCAAAAATGACAAATTCTTTAAAGTGACAAAATATCTGCGAGTGCTTTCACCCGCATCCCCATGGCGGTGACTTTTGAGTCGACTAAAAAGCCCCTTCCAAGATTTTCAAGCTTTTTCGCCCTTGCCCGGAGGCGGTTACTTCACCTTGTTAGGCAAGCGTTTGGAGTGACTGGTTAAGCAGACAGTGTCTCATGTAAACGCCTGCAACGTTTTCCCCAGCCAGCTTAGACACCTACCACCAGTGCCCAGCCCAGTGCCACACACACACACTCACACTCACCAGTGCCCACACGATGATTTCCGCCGAAAAATAAAGGCGGGGAGGCGGCAGGGGTGCCCAGGAGTAAGGTGGGGAGGACGCCAGGGGCCACAGTGGAAGAGAAGTCCGTGAAGGGCGGGATGGGGTCAGCCGCTTCAATTCCGCCCAGCACGTTCACTATGTACAGCGGCTTGCGGGGGGACGGCAGGCCCAGCAGCGACAGGATGGGCCGGCCTGTGATGCGCTCAACCACTGGCCTGGAAGGGGGGTGCGGGCAAGACGAAGAAGGTGTATGGTTATGTCTGAGAGAAGGTGTACGGTTATGTTTGAGAGAAGGTGTATGGTTATGTTTGAGAGAAGGTGTATGGTTATGTCTGAGAGAAGGTGTATGGTTATGTTTGAGAGAACATCAAGTGAAAGTGAACGTGAGTCCTCGATGGGCCGGCCTGTGATGCGCTCCACTACTGGCCTGGGAAGTGAAGAGGGGGGGAGACAGGCGGGGGCATGGTCAGGCGCTAGGGCGGGAGCCAGGAAGTCCAAATGGAATGGAGTGAGTAACCATGGGGCACAACGGTCAATATGGCGCGGTTAGCAGGCAGGCATGAGCAACGGCTGACCTGCAGCCAGGCCACTCGATACCACCCAGCCCTACAATCAGGGCGAGCCCGCCCTCTTTCCAAGCCTGCTTAGCTGTGGCCAGCCCAGCCCAGGATGACTCAACGAAACATGCTCCATTGAAACTGCAACGTCAACTTTTGAGGCGCCTCAAAAGCCGTCCCCCTCTCCCACACACCTGTCAGCGTCCTCAACAAGCATGACGAGCGTGCCCGTGGTGCGGTCCGACATGCTCATGGTGGGTTCCATTGTATGGCTGCAATGGGAGTTCAGATCCTTGGTTAAATAAAGGACATTCACCTGTCGCTGTCGTCCACGAGCATGACGAGAGTGCCCGTGGTGAGGTCCGACATGCCCAGGGTGGCGGCGTTGTACAGCTCCATGCTGCGGTTGTCCGCACACCCCGCCAGCCCCCAGTAGGTGAGGTTCGTGCTGCTGCGCGGGCCGTACCCGTTGAACACCTTCACCAGCGCCGACATCTCCTGCTCACACGCACGCTCGCACGCACGCACGCACACAGAACACACACACGGACAGACGGACTTATGAGAGGTCTCACAAAAAAACACACACGCACACCCCGCCAGCTCCCAGTAGGTCAGGTTGGTGCTGCTGCGCGGGCCATACTGCGCACATTTTGGTGCCGATATCTCCTGCCCTCGCAGCCAGCACCGCAAGGCAAAGCACAATCTGGTGGGGGGGAGGGGGGAGAGGGATGGGGGAGTGAGGAGTGGGGGGGTTGGGGGGGAGGGAGGGGAGGGTGTCATGGGTTGGATTAGGTGCGATGGCATGGGTTGGGTCGAAGGTGGACTGTGCTGTCGCGCTGGACAGTGCTCTCGCGCCGCCAACCCCTCTCCTTCCTCTGCCGCCTCGCCTACCACCCCTCTCCTCTCCGCCCCCCTCTCTCCTCTCCGCCCCCTCTCCTCTCCGCCCCCTCTCCTCTCCGCCCCTCTCCGCTATGCGCTCTCCGCGACGCCCCTCTCCTTGGGTGGAGAACAATGAACAAGGGGTCGGCGCAGAAGCGGGCCGCTGGAGCGGAGGGCATTGCTTCCCGTCTGATGACTAGGCGTTTCGAGAGTCTCAAATGGCATTTCGAGGGTTTCAAAACGGAACCTGAGGGCCTGAAACGGAATCTGAGGGCTTCAAACGGAATCTGAGGGCCTCAAAAGGAATCTGAGGGCTTCAAACGGAATCTGAGGGCTCGAACGGCATCCCGCTTGCCTCAAGAGGTGCAACGGGAGAGCAACGAATGCCGCCGGTGTCAGTCGTGCCGTGGTGAAACCAAGTAAGCGCGCCGCCCGCACAGTTGTCTCGTCACTGCTTCTGCTGGCAGCAATGCTGTGCGTTGCTGTGGGGCATATCGCGCACCTGCACGCGCGAGACGGACGACAGCAGGCGCTGGTAGAAGTAACGCACGCGCAAGCGGCACCACCCGCGCATCGCCTCCTCCCGCGGATTTGCCGCCTGCGTGTGCGCGAACCACACAACCCACGCGCACAGGCCCAACCATCCCGCCACCCACGCCGCCCCTAGCAGCACCCTTCCCACGCCCCAGGGCACGCCTCGCGGCGAAAGGAGCCACGGTGGGCGCATAAGACTGGCGGAGGTGCTGGTGATACAAGCAAGGTGAGCGACTCGCACAGCAAAATGATGTGAGCGGATGGAATGGGGGAGTGAAGAATGGAGAATGGGTTTGAGTTGAAGGGTCGGGAAATTATCAATTCCCACTTGTTCTTCTGTCTGTTGTTTTCTTTTCTTGTCTTGTTTTGGTTTTGGTTTGGAGACGTGTGGTGGCGGTGGTGGGAACTTCCCCCACTGGGAAGGTGGATAGGCGGATTACGATCGACAGCCGGGGGTAACCCAAAGGGGGCCATTCCCCCCCCCCTTTACCTTTACCCACTGGGAAGGTGGGGTTGATTGGTCGAATCGCATGAGTTCAGTCCCGCCCGCCCCAACCCACCATGGTGGATGGCTGATATTTTTTACATGGCACAGGACCGTTTAGGAAATCGGACGGTCGAAATGATATCAAACAACCGCATCCACCCTCATACAGGGGCACTCGGTTCGGAAGAGCATCAACTTCAAATTCTCAAACATGCGGCGGCAACTGGGTTGGTTACTGTACAGTACAGAGAACGCTCACGAATCATCACCGCATGACCTGCGGTTCTTGCGAGAGTCTGTGCCGCTCGTTCCGCCGCGCCGCTATTAGTAATCGCAAAGCGTCACGCTAGTATGAACTTTTCAGATACTGGGCTACGGTGGCGCGACCTAAAAACGGAATCGTTAATATTCTTTCGTGTCATATGCGGCCCTAGAAATGTATAATGCCTGGACCTCGTCAACCAACGGAAATCAGCAACGCGATTGTTTTCTGAGAACTTGCGGTGCTACATTGAGAAATTCGGTGTACGCTTCGGTACGGTTGGGTGAATCCAAATCGCTAGACCCGCACGGTGAGACTCGTTGACGGGATTGAGATAAGCGCGGGATTGGATGGAGCGCGCAAAATCGTCACCATATCCCCTTACGAGCGAGGGCTTTTTTTCGCAAACCCTAGTTACGGATTCGCCACTCCCATAGGCACGCTTTACTCCTCTACTTGACTTTTCGCGCGGCAGTTGAAACTACTCGGGCTCACGGAATCCATTTCTTTAGGGGTGCTCCGAAACGAGTGACGCGACGCGGGCAGACTTTCGAGTCGACTCAAAAGGCAACAAGGCGCGGATCGCAGCGGTAGCCGCCGCAGCCATGGCGGGGGACGACCAGCAGATATGCCTCGTGTGCTTCAGTGTCAACTGCATGGAGAAGGTGCGTTACAGTTTCAACTGCATGGAAAAGGTGCGCGTAACAGTTTCAACTGCATGGAGAAGGCGCGCGTAACAGTTTCAACTGCATGGAGAAGGTGCATTACGGTTTCAACTTCGCGTGCATCCGTGTCAACTGCATGTCGTACTACTAGGGTAGGGTCAACTGGCATGTGCGTTACAGGATAGCTGCATGGAGCAGAAGCGTTCGAAAATCAAAAGGCCACTCCCTCCACCCCCCTCCCTCAACCGCCCTCCCCCCGCCCCCCAGGACGACCATACGGGCGATGCGGTGCAGCGAGTGCGGCATGGTGTCGCAGCAGTTCTGCGAGGACCACGCCTTTTGAGGCGCCTCAAAAAGCCCCCCCCTCCACCCCCCTCCCTCCACCCCCCTCCCTCCAACCCCCCCCCCCCCCCTTCCATCCCCTTCCTCCCCCACCCCACCCAACCCCACCCCCATCAGGACGACCACACGGGCGCCATGCGGTGCAGCGAGTGCGGCATGGTGTCGCAGCAGTTCCGCGAGGAGGACAACGAGGGCGGCGCGCCCGGCGCGGGCGGCGGCGCGGCGGGGACGGGGGGGATGGGGATGGGGATGGGGTCGCAGGCGGTGGTGCGCGAGAGCAACGTGGCGCTGCACCAGCAGCGGCAGGAGGTTGCAGCCGCCGACGCTGCCAGGGCTGCGCAGGCTGTCAGCCTGCAAGTGCAGGTGGGGCGTTGAGAGGCGTTGAGTGCAGAGGGGCTTACTACAGCGGTGGTGCGCGAGAGCAACGTGGCGCTGCACCAGCAGCGGCAGGACGTTGCTGCGGCTGATGCGGTCAGGGCTGCTCGCGCTGTCAGCCTGCAAGTGCAGGTGGGGCGGTTGGGTGGGGCGTTGAGTGGGCGGCAAGTGCAGGGGGCTGACAGTGGTGCTCATGGTGAGGGCGAGAATTGTGACCCCATGCGTCCTCGCCTCCTCGTGTGTGCCTGCTCTCTGTCCCTTGCCCGCACTCCGGGTTTAGGGTTAGGGGACCATGCACTCCTCCTCTCCCGCCTACCCCCCGCTCCCTTCCCCCCACGCGCACGCCCTAGTGGAGCACTACTGCACGGGGCTGCACGCCATGCTGACGCCGCCTGTCGCTGCTCCCCCCCTCCCCCACTGCCACTCCGCCCCCTCCCCTCCCCCAGGCGCACGCCCTGGCGGAGCACTACTGCACGGGACTGCACGCCATGCTGGCCCGCCAGTGCCACGCGCTCTCCGCCCTGCTCGCCCCGCCCGCACCTGCTCCACCCCAGGGGCCCATGGGGGAGGGCGGGGAGCGCAAGGAGCAGGACGGTGCTGTGGCTGCCTCTGCTGCTGCTGCTAATGCAGCAGCGCTGCGCAGTGTGGCGCGGCAGATCCTGCTGCGCCTCGTGCTGCACTCGGGTGTGCTCCGCGCCGGGTATGCTGAACGCTGCTGGCTGCTGTGGCGGTGGGTGAGGGCGCAGGCGGAGTGGGACATGCTTGGAGGGAAGGGGACGGGGGCGCAGGGGGGGTTGGGGGAGGGGGAAGAGGGGAAGATGGATGGGGAGGGGAGGCGAAGTCGGGTGGAAGGAGGAGAAGAGGTGGAGGTGAGATGGGAGGAGAGGGGGGGGAGGCACTGCAACGGGAGATGGCAGGGTGGGGCATGGAGGGCGGGAGTGGGGGCTTTGGGGGAATGGGGGGCGGGGCAGCGCAGGGGGCATGCGGAGAGGGGAGAGACGAAGAGGGGAAGGGCGCAGGGGGTAGTGCGGGGCAGGATGACGAGGGTGAGTGGGCGCGGGAGCTGAGGGCGATTCTAGCGGGCACGAGGCGGAGCAGGCGGCAAGAGAGAGAGGAGGCGAGGAAGCGGGCGAGGCAGGCGCGGAGGAAGAAGTGGGGGCGGTTTGGCGCAGAGCTGGCAGCCATTCGCGAGGACGAGGCGGCTGAGAGGCGGGACGGAGGGGAGGGGGAGGGGGGAAATGGGATGGGAGTGGAGGGGGAGGGGGAGGAGGAGGAAGGAGGGAAGGGAGGGAGTGAGAAGGCGTCGATGAGGGAGACGTGGTTTGCTCTGGCGGAGAAGCTTCAAACGAGCCCTTTTTCTGCCGTCACCTGCAAGCTGCACGTGTGAGGCCCTTGAGTGACGACGCCCTTGAGTGACGACGCCCTTGAGTGATGATGCCTTGCTGTGAGCATCACACCATACCGTCACAGTCACTGGCAAGCAAGGCAACACCACGCCACTTGCATGGCTGCTCCACTCCACTTCCCGTTTCCCTTCCCTCCTCACCTTCACTCCCCTCGCCTTACATTGCATGTCCCCTCACTGCACTCCTGCTTCTCACCTCCCACACCCCCCCCTAAACCCCAAACCCTGATTCCCCTCCCAGCCTTCTGCCGCTGCACGCGTCGCTTGCATTGCTCTTCCTCGCCTTGCATTGCTCTTCCTCGCCTTGCATTGCTCTTCCTCGCCTTGCATTGCTCTTCCTCGCCTTGCATTGCTCTTCCTCGCCTTGCATTGCTCTTCCTCGCCTTGCATTGCTCTTCCTCGCCTTGCATCGCTCTTCCTCGCCTTGCATGCCCTCTACTGCACTCACTGCCTTGCTTCTCACCTCCACCTATTTCCCTCTCTCGCCCCCTCTCCTCCCCCCCCCCCTTCCCCCTCCTTCTCCCCCTCTCCCCTCCAGACACCTACCGCTGCACACCTCACTCGCTTCCCTCTTCCTCGCCTGCCACTACCTGCGCCTGCCGCTGCTCCCCACTGACATCTGCCACCTGGCGCTCTCTGGTTCGCTGCCCTACCTGTCCGCGTGGCGCCAGCTGCCGCCCTTCCAGGGCTATCCCGCCAGCGTCCCACCCGCCACACTCTTCCGCCCGCTCGCCCTGTGCTCCGCTCGCCTGCTCGAGCTGCTCGCTGCCTCTGCTGCCGCCTCCATCGCCCTGCGCGTGCCCGCTCTCAACTTCCGCCTCATTGGGGAGCGCTTCCTGCAGGTACGCGTCTCCTCCCTGCAGCTGCCACTCACTCACTTCCTGCACCTGCCTGCTGGATGTGCCATGCCTCTCCCACGCTCTTCCGTCCACTCGCCCTCTGCTGCCGCCTCTTCTGCCGCCTCCATCAGTCTGCGCCTGCTCCCTCTCAACTATCGCCTCATTGGGGAGCGCTTCCTGCAGGTACGCCTCTCCTCCTGCACGTGTCTCCTCCATGCCCCTCTCAGTCTCCTCCATGCCCCTCTCAGTCTCCTCCATGCCCCTCTCAGTCTCCTCCATGCCCCTCTCACTCTCCTCCATGCCCCTCTCACTCTCCTCCATGCCCCTCTCACTCTCCTCCATGCCCCTCTCACTCTCCTCCATGCCCCTCTCACTCTCCTCCGCCTGCCTGCTGTCAGGTTGAGGGGGCAGCAGTGATCTGAGCCGTTGATTCGAATCAGTGATCGCAGCTCACAATGCACAACTCTCGCCCATGCTAGACGCACGTCTCCTCCCTGCCCCTCTTCCTCCCTGCCCCTCTTACTCTCTTTTGCCTGCCTGCTGTCAGTTTCAGCGGACACCAGTCATGTCAGCTGCGTGCCCCCCGTGTTGGGTTTGAATCCGCCTTCCCTGCCGCTGCCCATCTCTCTCCCACTCTCACCCCCTTCCAACCCCCCCTCCCTTGCGCCTTCTCCCCATACCCCCCCTCCCTTGCGCCTTCTCCCCATACCCCCCTCCCTTGCGCCTTCTCCCCATACCCCGCCTCACCCTCCCCTCACAACCCCCTCCCTTCTCTATCTCCCTTGCCGTCCCTCTTCACCCCTCCGCACCCTCTGTCCCATCCCTCCCTCCTGCCCCACCAGGAGCTGCACCTACCCGTACCGCTCTTCGCCCCTTTCCTCCACCGCCTCTTCGACCTCCTCTGCCCCTCCGCCTCCCTCTCCCCGTCCCTCCCATCCCTCCTCCCCCGCTTCCACCTCTCGCCCCTCCCCTCCGCGTGGCCCACGCGCCTCTACGTGATGGCAGCGGTCGTTGTCTCCCTCAAGCTCGCCCTCGCCCTCGGCTCCTGGCCCTGCCTCACCCCCTCATCTTCCACACGGGCACGGGCACGGGCATCGCCAACACCAGCAAAACCAGCAACAAGAGCATCAGCAGCAGCAGCAGCAGCAGCAGCAGCAGCAGCAGCAGTGGGAGCAGGAGCAGCAGGGGGTGGTGCGGCGGTGTGCAGGGCTGCTGCGGCTGCCCGCGCGCCACCGTGTCGCTGGCTGGGGGGGCGGTGTCGGGGTGGCAGCACATGCTGCAGCAGCGCAAGCGTGGCGGGGCGGGGCAAGGCAAGGCAGCAGAGGGATTGCTGGCAAGGAGGGTGGGCCAAGGGCGAGGGGAGGGCAGGAGGGAGGGGGAGGAGGAGGGGGAGGAGGAGGGGGAGGAGGAGGAGGAGGAGGAGGAGGAAGAGGAGGAGGGAGAGAGTGGGATGTGCGGCGGGTGGTGCAGGCAGTCGAGAGCAGCCGGCAGCAGCTGCTGCAGATGCCCATGCAGACCCGTGCTGGGGCACGCAGGGGGCGCACAAGGGAAGAAGGGGGGGATGGAGCAGAGGGAAGAGGTGAGCCACTGTGGTGGAGGCGTGAGGGATGAGGTGTGAGGGGTGGGGTGTGAGGGTTGGGTGTGAGGGTTAGGGTGTGTGAGGGGTGGGGTGTGAGGGTTGGGGTGTGAGGGTTGGGGTGTGAGGGTTGGGGTGTGAGGGTTGGGGTGTGAGGGGTGGGGCGTGAGTGGTGTGAGGCATGCGGCATGCGGGGCATGAGAGGCTTGAAGGCTGTGAAGTGAGGAAGGCCGCACCTGCCGCACCTGCAATTGCTTGCTCTCCATCCCTTCCCTTCAATTGCAATTGCTTGCTCTCCATCCCTTCCCTTCAGTTGCAATTGCTTGCTCTCCATCCCTTCCCTTCAATTGCAACTGCTTGCTCTCCATCCCTTCCCTTCAATTGCAATTGCTTGCTCTCCATCCCTTCCCTTCAATTGCAATTGCTTGCTCTCCATCCCTTCCCTTCAATTGCAATTGCTTGCTCTCCATCCCTTCCCTTCAATTGCAATTGCTTGCTCTCCATCCCTTCCCTTCAATTGCAATTGCTTGCTCTCCATCCCTTCCCTTCAATTGCAATTGCTTGCTCTCCATCCCTTCCCTTCTGCCCCGCATCGACACTCCCCCCTCCCCACCCCTTCGTTCCCTGCATGTCTGTCTCAACTCCTGCCATTATCGCCCCTGTCACACTCGCTCCCCTCCTCACCTCTACTCTCTCGCCCCCTCTCCTCTTCCTTGTTCCTTGCCCCTGCATCCCCCGCCTCCCTCCCACCCTCCCCGCCCGCAGCACCGCTGCAGCTGCGGCAGTACCTGCAGCACTGCGAGTGGCACTCCTCCTCTCCCATGATTCTTGCCCCTGCATTCCCACTCTCCCCACCCTTGCACTTGCAGCACCGCTGCAGCTGCGGCAGTACCTGCAGCACTGCGAGCGCCACGTGTTTGCCCCCGATGCCACGCGCGGCGCCGACCCCTCCACACTCGACCGCGAGCTGCGCGCCCACCTGCACTCCGCGCTCCCCTTGCCGCGTGCTCACGCGCGCGGTGATGGGGGCGGTGGGGATGTGGAGAGGAACGAGATGGCAGCTGAGCGAGGCCGTGGAGGAGTGGATGGAGGGAGAGGGCAGCGGGTGGACATGGAGACGGGTGGCGCGGAGGGAGAGGAGAAGGGAAGGTGGAAACGGAAGCGAATGAAGGGGGAGAGGGCTGAGGGGGAGGGGGAGAGGGCGCGGTGGTTCCCAGTGCGGGTGGAGGACGTGGAGGCCGACATGCGGCGCTGTGACTTTGCCATGGCACCCCCTCTTCCCCAGGTGCTGTTCTGCTCTGCTCATGTCTCGCAGGTGTCATGCAGGTGTCATGCAGGAATTGCAGTTGTTTGTGACACCTGCTGACACGCGGCGCTGTGACTTCTCCATGGCGCCCCCTCTGCCCCCTCCATGGTGCTGCTCTGCGTTGCTCTGCGCGCAGGTGTCATGCAGGTGTCACAGGTGTTTGTAACTTGGTGTCATGTGTCCTGAAACAATGTCAGATGGTGCTTGCACGTTTCATTCTTGTTCTGTATCATGGTTCTTATGTGACTAGGGGTATCAGTGACCTTGGGGCTGTGTGGGGGTGGGGCATCGTAGTGATTAACTCTTGGTTTCCACAATGGAAGCCTGAGCCACTGTGGAGAGCTGCACCATGGAGCATCGACTTCTTCCAAATGCATGCATGGACCCAAGCAGCCCCGTTACCATTGCCATTGTAAGTCATACGCCTTGCCTTGCCCATGCTCTTTTGGGCCAGAGTTCATGTGGCACACTCACCCTAACCCCCCTTTCCAACACTCCTCTTCCCTTCCCTCCCTCCCCACAAACCTCCTCCCCCCCAGCCCCTGCGCGGCAGTGAGCTGGTGTGCTACAAGCGCCTGCGGGCGCGCATGCCATTCATTACCTCCCTCCACCCCACCTCTCCCCCTCTCCCCCCCAGCCCCTGCGCAGCAGTGAGCTGGTGTACTACGAGCGCCCGCGGGCGCGCATGCCGTTCCACGAGGTGCATGCAGACCTCTTTGTGCTGCTGCGAGCCGCGGCACGTGTGGCACGCGTGCATGTGAGGGCGCTGCACTTCTGTACCATGGAGATTGAGGATGCGCTTGTGGCTGTGGAGGCTGCCTTGCAATCCATGGACAAGTGAACCAGGCCTTCCTACCGTATTGGTTCTCTGGACGGTCCAATCAATCAGATCGCTTGTTGATGTACCGTCATACCCCGGATATACCCCCATGGGGGGCAATAATAAAACAGGTTTTTTTTGGGGGGGTGGGCTTATAATCGAGTAAATTTATAAGCGCCGGCGTTTATAAAATGACATATATATATTTTTTTCTTTTTTTAACACCAAACTGTATATCTCGTGCTTGCCTTTTCAATCGAGTCGAAGTTACATGGGGTCGTCTGTGAAATTCTCGCGCGCGCTGGGATGCGAGTGAATCTGACTCACATCCAGCTCCTGACAGCTCCTGCTGACTGGACCCGCATCCAGTGCAGGGTCCGAATGTGAAGGGAACCGAATCTGCAACACATCCGCCTGCTAAAGTAAAAATCGTTACAGCGTTTTGAACACATTTCAAAATTTAAAGTTTACGTGCGCTTATAATAAAAACTAGTTTTTTCAGGTGGTGCGCTTATAATCGAGCAGCGGATATAAGCGCCACACGCCAATTAAAAGCGCCAGGCGCTTATCCGAGGGTGGCGCTTATATCCGGGGTATGACGGTAGGTTTTAGATTTGGCATGCTTCAGTAATGTCCACATCAATTGGGGTACTCATACAGTAGTGCTGTCCCACAGTAATGTAACGAGCTTACGTGAGTCGACATCATGGCATTAGTGGCACCAAGGGGGAAATCTGCCGAGTTTCGTCATTTCGGCCAAGTGATGATGACTGCGTGTGACAGGGCCCACGTTACCGTATCAGGGCAAAACATCCTGATTACCCTGAATTCAGGATACAGTTCTGTATTTACCCTGTCATTTCAGAATAGTTTCCATTTTAACCCTGAGGTCACAGGATGTTTTTATGTGAAATGACCAGAACATTCAGGATGGCCGTAGTGTTCTTCCCTGTAGCGTCAGGATGAATGTCGAGGCCTGCCCTGACGCGGATTTTTCGGGGGGGAATTTTTTCTCCGAGGATTTTTGTCTCCGTTTGAAATTTTTCCCCGTGTATGTTTCCCGCCTTCGCACGATCTCTTCCCCTTGACAGTTCTGTTCCAATCCCCCGCTACACCAGCCAAGCCAACCCCACCCTTCACCCACCGCCAAGGAAACTCGTCCTGTGCCTGGCTAGCTCTAGCTGGGTTTCTCACGCTGACGTTCAGTAGCACTCCATCCAACACCCTTGCAGTGTTGCTGTTAGAGTAGCAGCAGCACTAGTAGTGAAGTTCGGCTGGATGATGGCAAACGAGGACGATGGCGCTCCGCCAGTATCACGGGGTCTAACCGGATTAGATTTCTTGCGTCCGGTTAGAGTTCTGTCCGCCTTACCAACAGGTTCATCTGCAGCTGGATCATCTCGTACTCCCGCAGTCACACCCGCCTATGCTAGTACGAACGGGACCAACGTTGTACCACCTGGTGCGACACGCATCGGCCCTGCCGCTACTGCTAAGTTAAGAGCGACCAAGCACAAACAGTCGACATTGTCGTTCTCTCGCAATAGTCCCACGGAACCCACCGCTCGTGTCCGCTTAGCGCCAGCTTTACCAGGTTCATCGGCCGTTCCTGCAGCAACTTCGTCCACCGAGGAACTGCGCGATGAGGCAGAGGATAAATACCAGCAGGCTCTTATGAAGTACAAACATGAGTGGTCAACTGATTTCCCGTGGCTCGTGC